CCATTGTTGGGGTCTAGCCTTGATTTGATATTAGCGTTGTATACATCAACAGACCGCGAACTTGAACCGCGGCTTGCCGTTGGCGGCAATTGCACTGCATCATGGGATTTGTAGTGTGTGTTATTGGGGCGTCATATCACAGGGCCATTAAAAACAGATATATAAAACGATTTCGCGGGCCGGATATAATTGTATGGCGGGCCGGATGTGGCCCGCGGGCCTTGAGTTTGACACATGTGCTTTAGATCTAGCCAGTATTTGTCTTCATTTATGGCATTTTAAATGCAATAGGGCAATAACAGAATCAAGCATATTCCTGCCAGTTACATTTCTTCATCTTAGAGTTCTAATTCTCAGGCCCACAACTAGCTGCATATGAGTGTGTCCCTGCACCTGTGCATAGTTATGACTGGAACATAATGTATTATTGTCTTTTAAATAAAATCAATTGGCTGTGTCAGCCTAGAGTTCCAAGAAGAGACAGAGGAAAAAAATGAATGCCAAGAAGTTTACTGGTGAATAGAAAATCTCAACAATGGCCTTTGTCTCTATTTCCAGTGGAAAAATTGACTGTGCATCATGTTTCATAACCATCTTGGCTACATATTCATAGCCATAATTATAAAAGTGAAGAGTAAGACCATCACAGAAAAGGCATGGTATATGGTGACAAATATTTTTTTCAACACCTTTGAATGATAACAAGTAAAAAGAAAGTTTGAATGGCTCGCTCCCTCAACTGTATAATGTTCTGCTTTAAAATAGCTGATGTTTGATTTCCCAGTTGTTTTACTTGTTCTTTATATTTTCAGGTTACAACTTGGAAAAAACAGTATGATGCATCTGCTCATGTAGACATTCCTGCTATGAACCAGCTGGCTGAGTGGTTAATGAACAACTTGCCAGCTGGTGATAATGAAGAAAATCTGATTCATGGAGATTTTAGAATAGATAACATCATTTTCCATCCAAGAGAGGTACCCCAAACATATACATACATATTTAATCATACTTCTTAGTTCTTGTTGTACTGTTTTCCTACCTTCATAATAGACATTGACAGGTGTTGCAGAGCACAATTTTCTTGAGATAAATTTATGGACTGCTTAAAACAAATTCACTAACCTAACTCTGATTCATTAGACCTTCTTTTCCCTCTTCCCATTTTCACATCCCCCAGTGCAAACAATCCTGCTCCATTATTGTACTTGGAATATACAGCTCAAAAAGGGAATCATAAAATACACTTAAGAGTCAAGCATGTGCTCAAGTATCACTGATTGGCTTAAGTGCCTGATCCAAAGCCCGCTGAAGTCAATGGAAAGACTTCCACATTAACTTCAGGTGGTTTGGGATCAGGTATTATCATAGGTATTATTATTAGTATTATCATAGGGCCTGGTAGCCCTCCTCATAGACTAGGACCCCATAGTGATAGACTCTGTGCAAACACAGAGCAAAAAGGTCTAAATATATAATATGCAATCTCAGTAAAAACAAGGGAGAAGAAAAAAAAAAAACCTAGTGAAAGTAAGGCAGGCCCATTGACAGCAATTCCAGGCCCCAGGGCAGAACAGTCGGTGGGTCCCAGCTGGTGCCCAGCGAACTGCTGGGTGTGCTCTTCAGGCATGGCCAGGGCTTGCACATGCCTGCCTGGTCAGTGCCTTTGCTGCCGCCGGTATCACCCAGCATGCGCCTAGGAGCATAGGTGCCGACTTCCAGATTTCCCAGGAGATGCTCGACCCCCCACTCCGTCCTAGGCCCCTTCCCCTAATGCTCCATTCCCGCTCCACCTCTTCCCACCCCTGTTCCGCCCCCTCCCCCGAGGGTGCCCCCTATACAACTGGTGCCTCCCCTTAGTGGGGGGGCATGCTCCAAAGGGCGGGTCATGTGTCTTCTAAATGGGAAGCATGTGTGAATGTAGTTAATTTAACTTGCTTGCCTTTATCATTCATCTGATAATTTTTTTTATTTATTTAGGCTCGTGTTGTGGCAGTCCTGGACTGGGAACTTTCAACCACTGGGCATCTTTTAGCAGATGTAGCTTATACTGCTGCATTTTACTTCTGGCCTAACACAATTAAACAGTTAGGCCAAGGGGGTACCTTGAGTTTTAGAGATACTGTAGGTAATTGTAATTTTGTTGAAATTAGTTTTTTAAAAATTGATTTCTATTTAGTTTTTTATATTTATAAACCGTTGATAGACAACTATTAACCATACCATACTAAACTTGTAAATAACTTCCATAGTTTACTAACAACATGTTTATTACATTCTAGAAAACTATAGCTAGGAAATGTATATTTCAATATACTTACGTGGTTATTAATAGTATTCCTTTAAGTGAAAAGATATTTTGAATGCTATTTTTCTTAGAGACACTGCCAGAAAACTTAAGCCTAAAATTGAATCTTCATGTTAAAAGACAAGACAACAATATTATTTTTTTACTGACCCAAAAAATGTTCTGTTTATATTTGGTTGGAATATGAACAGTCCCCATTTGTGTTTGGCTCCCAAATATAACAGCATTATATTAGTGCATGAGAACCAGTATGTGACACTTACTAGTTTGTTTTTGTTGTGTAAATTGAATATAGTTTGTAAGACTAAACAAGCAGGATAACTGGTAAAACGTTAATTAGAATTTAAAAACCAAGAAAGAGAAAAGTTTTGGACATGCTAAATATTCTGTATTGTTTTCCTAGGAATTCCATCACTTGAAGAATTGATTTCAATTTACTGCCGCTGCAGGGGTATTAGCACAGATTTACCCAACTTGCATTTCTTTCTTGCTCTTTCATATTTTAAAATAGCTGGAATATGCCAGGTAACATTTTCATTGATACCTAATATATGTTCTTATAGTTTTATTACAAATATCTGTAGTTTGGTAATGTAGATTAAAAATGTAAAAAATATTGAAATGTTATAAAGTTGAAAAGCTTTTGTAATTTTATTTATTCTTTTAAAAGCTGTCGCGTGTTTGCTGCCTGTCACTAGTAGCTGTTTGGGCTATTGTTCCCTTTATAAAACTACTGATCAGATGATGGCTAACTTCAGAATTTTTAAAACAGACATTAGCCTTTTTTAGATTTGTTCATTTTGGATATGATCACCATGGATGCTAGATGATGGGGAGGTCCCTCAGGAAAAATCACATACACTGTCCTTTTAAACTCTGAGCATTGTGGGCCCCATCCAGTGCCTATTGAAATCAACAGATGGGAATCCATTGACATCAGACGGCACTAGATCAGGCCCCACATGAACGTGTTTTTCAACTTTTATAATTATATATCTGACATTTGCACAGTAAATACTTGTCACTTGTGCTGTTGATTTTGTTGGTTGTCCTTCAGACTTGGACCATTAGTCTGTCTACAATGGAGTGAGTATTTTCTTTTTGTGTCTCAGTATCACTACTGATTGGGAAAGGATCAATGGCAATACTAATGTATTCAAGTAAAATGCGACCAACTTTTATATTGGAACACTGACTACTTCTTTTTATTGGGAATATATGAATTTAATTTTGCCCACCACTTCACACAGATTATCTGTCATATGGGACTCCAGTTTTAAACAGATAATTAAATCATACATGTCTATTTTATTTGGTTTTAGGGTGTATATGCTAGATATCTTCTTGGAAATTCTTCTGCAGAGAACAGTTATGAGTTCGCTGAGATGGTGAAACCGTTGGCAGAAACGGGATTACTGCTCTCAAAAAGGTAAGAGCACTTGTTGGATATGTCTATGCAGAAATAAAAAAAAACCCAGCTGGCCTGGGTCAACTGACTTGGGCTCACAGAGCTTGGGCTCCGTAGCCAAAAAATTGCTGTGTAGACATTTGTGCTCGGGCTGTAGTCCAAGCTGTGGGACCCTCAATCCTTGCAGCCCGAATGACTACATAGCAGTTTTTCAGCCCTGCAGCCCAAGCCCTACGAGCCTGAGTCAGCTGACCTGGGTCTTTTATCCCTGTGTTGATATGCCCTAAAAGGCTTGGCTAACTCAGGTCAAACCTTTCACAGCTTTCTTATATATTTCTTTAAATAGTTATATATTCGTGTAAGGAAGTTTGTATTAACATCAGGAGAACCTGACCTTATTTATTTATTTTAATTTTGTTCCCTAGAACTTCTTTCACCAGTGATGCACAACCCAGCGGTACAGGAGAGCTGTTCCAGCAGACTAAAAAAGGCCAGGAGGTTCTGCTGAAGGTGAAGCAGTTCATGAAGCAGCACGTGTTTCCAGCTGAAAAGGTAGAAGCTTTTTCTTCAGGAAGTAGAGTGTGTTTGTGCAGAAATGCAGAGCTTACTTCACAGCTCACATCTTCACTTTGTTTAGGAACAGAGACAGAGCTTAATTTTGTCCAATCAGTGATGATTGCAGATTATGACTCATTATAAATCAGTATAGCCTTGGCAACAAAATCTATCCAAAGTACAGTCTCTGAATTAGTAGTGAATGCTAAAGGAAGAATATTGAATGGAGGAAAATACTCTACTAATAACAAACACAATAGTATCTTTCACAGTAGAGAAAAGACAGAACTCTGTTGTAGTGAGGGAGTGCAAAGGGGGTTCCTGATGTTGGACATAGATAGGCGCTATTGCGCTCTGACTAGCTCACAAACTGGAAGATGTTGACGGTCCACACAGTGTTACCATACAGGGCCTGCCTGAATCCTGGCCCAGATTCTTTCTCCTTTAGCTTTTTAAGGTTCATGGTTCTTCAGTTCCGAGGGAGTGTTGAAAGCAGGAGATTAGGAGTTGATACTTGCGTTCCCAATGTTGCTGCTGACTTAAGTGTGATCCTAGGGATGTTGCTCAGCCTCTCTCTGTATCTATTTTTTTTTCTCTTCTTACAAAGTTGTTTATGATAATTAATTGTTTGTAAAGTGCTTTGAGATCCTTAGCTGAAAGTAACTATGGTATAATCATTGCCAACTATCCTTGTTTAATGTGTCATCATGACTAATCATTGCATTACAGTATGCACTGTGACTAACTCCCTTACAACAGCTCTGACCCTCAGGACAATCTGCTTGTTGGGATTAAGTCTGAAGATCCAAGCCTTCTGAAAGAAGCAGTTTTTTGACTAATACTCTACTTGGATATGCATTTTGTCCCCGTGATTGTTCTTTGCCTGCAGCGCTAAGTTGTTTACTTTCTCTAGACTGGTCTCTTGTTTGGTGTGTGGGAGGTAACATGCCTTGCAACCAGGTTAATTTGATAAAAACGTTGGTGTCCTGCTTTAGTGATGTTGTTAGAAGTTAATGTAATATTCAGTAAAGTATTTGACTGTAAGTTCCCAGTTGCTTCTTGTGGAGTCATAATATGCTACTATGAATGTTAGAGGCTTGATTGTGTCCCAGAGGGAAGAATTGCATTGGAGGATTGTTTGTCATCCAGGAAGAAGGCTGCTGTTCTTACCCCCCCATCCTGGGTGGAATGTTAACCTTGCCCTTTTTAGAAAGGGCTATGGGAAAGGTAAAGTGCTGTTTATATCTGATATTAAGTACACTTCTGTAATATATCAACATGCCCTCAGTTCCTAGATGTGTCTGACATTAATGTAGGCTTCAAAGCTGATAGTGGAAATGGCCAGAGAGGTCCATAATTATGAAAAACAAGATGATTTCTTAATGTACCTGCTCCAGATGAGTTCTTGTTTCTGAAAGATTTTGTCAAAGGTCAAACAGCCATCTTTTGGTCACAACTAGTTTTGTTTCTCTCCAGGAAAAAACGTGTTCTAAGGAATGTGTGTTTAACTAACAAAAAAACAATATTGAAAGTTTCCTACATAAACCTTTAAAGGAAATGTATGTTTGTTTTTGATTGTTTGCTACAGCTGGGGTTGGGAAGTCAGGACTCCTGAATTCTCTTCCTGAACCTGATTCACAGCGTGGCTTTAGATAGGCCATTTAACCTTTCAGTATAATGAGTCATTTAACCTCCCAAAAGTTGTTTGAAAGTGCTTTGAGATCCCTGAATAAAAAGCACTAAAAACTGTGAAATATAATCAGTGCATAAAAAAATTAGTCTTCAAAATGTCCCATAGAGAGCAACTTTTAGCATTAGGATTGCTATGAAGGGCACAACCCCGTATACAGTGCTAATATCTAGTGCTCCAGATGACTGAGTACACAATGAAAAGATCATCTGTTATTTAGAGAAACAGCTGTATTCTTCATGTTTCCACTTGTTGCATACTAAAATTGGATAACTAGCTTGCATGTTGCAATATTGCACTGGTAGTACTGTATGTGCTGTGTCATCATATATTAAGTTTTATATAGTAGTGATTATTTCATCATGGTGTCATTAATTTCATATACAATTACCCTTCAAGAAGACTAGTCATGACAAGTGCTTACTCAGATCTTCAGAAAATGTTGAACTTCACACACCGTAAGGTGTTTTAAATAGTATTGAGTCACTTTTATATCTGAAGTGAGGTGCTGTTTTGGCTATATTTCATGAGGAGTCTTAAACCTGTTTCATATGTGTGAGACATAATCAGATTGCAATTAGGGTTTTAATTTTTTTGTTTTTAACTATTTAACATATACTCTTGTACAATAAAGATGCACTTCTAGTATTTAATAGGAATTCATTGTGGTTTGTGGAGACTGGTAAAGAGGTAGTAGAAGACACCATATATTATTACTTTTTATTGTGTGTTTGTTTGTTTTGTTTTTAAGGAAGTGGTTGAGTACTATGCCAGGGATGAAAATTCACTGGACAGATGGACGAAACCTTCAGTGATTGAGAAACTGAAGGTACTACAAAGTGAATGTTTGCCTGAGTATTGCAGTGATGATGGAAATGAGGGAGTTGCTGCAATTGCCTAAGCAAATATTACCTAGAGTAGTTTACCTTTTAGTTAATCATGTTTCTCTTATGCATATAAAATACAATAAGCTTTTAAAAAGGAAATGCAGTTTAAAAATACACATGGTAATACAGTATTTCCCAAGCTTTTGAAAGCTCAGGAAAACAAAACCATTTGTGCCCCTTACAATCCTGCCATATGGTGGTGCTATGATAATTGGGCCTACAGATTTACCCTAATTGTGAACTCAACTCCAAGAAGTGAGCATAATTTCATAAGAGGTCACAATAACCCATAACAACAAATGCTGATGGGAAAAGACGCAAAAGCGAGACAGATTGAATTAGTACAAACAAAAAAGCCTACTGATATAAATCAAGGACTGACATCAAGAGATGAGGGGAACCAGAAATCATTGAACCAAAATGATGTGTCAGAAAATAGGCCTAATTGGTGAACAAAATAAGAGGTCGGGCTCTTCCACCCATCACTCCTTTTTGGAAGAGACTTTGGGAGGAAAAATTGGCTGCTGAAGTGAGATTCACCATCATAGCTATCACCCCCGCCGTCTCATGGATCCCTGGACCTCTTCATCCTAATCCCTGAGAAATGTCCTAACCAGAGCAGGCGAGAGAGAGGGAGCCAGATGACATTGCCATCTCCGCTGGCTCTAGCTAAATCCCAATCATCACCTGCAGTGTGAGACTTTGTCTTGCCCCATTCCCCCCCCCAAGTCCTTTTCCTTCCTTGCCTTATTTCATCTCTTTCTTAACTCTCTCCTTTTTCCTTCTGTCTGATAAGAGTCTGGCTTAGCTGGCCAAGACTGCATATTTGCCGTACGTCTGAAAGCCTGTGACAGTGGCTGATAACACTGTGTGCTGTACCTGTATTTTTCCAGCAGTGAGATTGCAAGTGACTCAACATCAGAGACAGAAGATGCATTTTCTATCTTTGCTTTTTCTTTTCTATGTGTCTGGCTTGTTTATCTTCTTAGGAAATGGGATCAGACTTTAATAACCGCAATGCCAGCTCCAGCTTGTCTCAACTAACTTCTCTTTTCCCCCAAAAAAGAAGATTTATTACTATCTTAAAAACTGTCAAACAAGGGTTATTTTTTCTTTTAAAGACACTCTCCAGCGAAAGAGAAAGGGAATAAGGATTGTTCTTGAAATGAAAGCCTTACTTTACATTCCAAATGCTTTAACTTTTTGTCCTGCTTTTCTATATCTTTTTAATAAAAGCTTAAAAGGATTTTAATGGTGTATTTGCCAGGGTACTAAGCAGGCTGAGGTCTCTGTATATCTAACCCTAAACCTTGTTTAAGGTTTGTTTAGCCCAGGTACTCCATCTAGACTTTTTTACGGTATGAGCGGAGTCTCAGAGCAGATTGTGTTAATCTTCATATTGGTTCTTCATCTCCTTTCTTACATGCTTTGAGCAGTGAAATAGTTAACAACACTGACATTTAAAGTGTGATCATTTCAGAAGATAGCACATACCGAAATGAATGGGGAAGTTCACACCTCTCAGAGCTGCTATTTCAGGCTCTCTGCAGTCTCAGGCAGATGTGATTACATCAGTTACAGCTGGGTCACATTTTCAAGTCTTTATTTATAACCAGAGCAGCTAGAAACTTTAAAAAAGAGAAGTGAAACTGGAGAAAAAGTGGGAGACCTGTCTGAGGGCTTGTCTACACTGCAAAGTTGACAAAACTTGTGTCTTTCACGGGTACTTAAAGCCCCCGCTCCCGACCCCCCCCCCCCCAGACAAAAGTTTTGCCGACGCAAGTGGCAGTGTGAACGCGGCTTTGTCCGCAGGGATGCTCTGCTGCCCACGGGGCTGGAAGTATTTTGTCAGCAAAAGTGCCGAAAAAGTACCAAAAAAGAGCATTTACACACGCTGACTTTTAGCGACAAGGCTGTGTCAACACAGCCTTATCGCTAAAAGCTGCATAGTGTTGACAAGCCCTGAGCCTTTCCCTTCCTTCCTTCCTTCCTTCCTTCTCCCACCCCAGCAGATATGCAGGCACGAGCGCATGCGCACACACACACACTTTAGAAAATGCTGTGCTTATACTTGAAACTGTTTTAATTGTTATGTTGACATGAATAGAATTCACCTCACACATTGCTAATCTATATTCCAGTTCTCTATTTTTAATAAAGCTTAAATAAAGTATTCACAGTGTCTTTAGGGGGCACCCTGATCCCATGATAAGGGAGGCCCTGCAGCACTGTGGAGAGGGAGGGAGAGCTCCTTTCTTTCCTTGTCCTGGGATTGGAGCATACCATCACAAAACAGCATAGTCTTGTACAGGGGTGACGTGTGCCGAAACAGTTAGCCATCTCCTCATTCAAATAGCATAGATTCCAAAAGCACAACAGGAAAACAATATACTACTGCACAAACCGGAACACATACATGCATGTGCACACAGTGAGTTATCGCCATTCTAGCCAGAATACTTCGTGGAGCAGGCAGATTTTTTAACAGTTGTTCTTTTGAAGGAGTGTGTGGAAGCTTGGCCCAAGGGTGGTTATTCTGGGCTTATGTGGCTATGTGGTAGAAGCCCTGGAGTTCAGGAGTAGGTGAAGGAAACAAAGAAAGGGAGAGAGTGTGTGAGAGAGGTTGAGAGAGATGTATACATGGAAAAAGTTAGGGAGAGCTTGAGTGTGAGGCGGAAGCCTCAACGTTATGCCAAAAAATGGAATATAGAGACTCAGGAAAGGAGAACTGTAGTTGGGACAGCAAGATTGACTGGATGGAGGTGAGATGGTTACTGAATCAGAATGTAATCTCAGAATAAAGATTCATTGTGTGTTGGTCTTATGTCTTCTGACAGGAAATGGCCAAAGCAGAGGGTCTGTGGAACCTTTTCCTGCCAGCCATCAGTGGTCTGAGTCAGGTTGACTATGCATTAATTGCAGAGGAGACAGGAAAATGCTTCTTTGCCCCAGAAATTTTCAATTGTCATGCACCAGGTTAGCAAACCTTCCCCCCATCCCATTCCTTAGCCACCATTTTGTAAACATTTTATGCTGTATGAACTATGTATTGCAAAAAGAAACATTCTGATTGCTCCCAGATACTGGAAACATGGAGGTCCTGCATTTGTATGGGTCTGAAGAGCAAAAGAAACAGTGGCTTGAGCCTCTTCTTCAAGGGAAAATTAGTTCTTGCTTCTGCATGACAGGTAAATGTTTCTGCAGTTGAAAACTGCCCCCCCTCCCCCCGTTGCATGTTTCACATCAGTGCAGAGAGGTGCAAAAACACAAGCTATTATGTGTTAATACCGTTTGCATTCCACCATTGCTTTGAACCTCTCTATGGGCTATCGACAGCCAGAGGGTCTAATTCTGCAAGATGCTAAGATCCTTAGTTCCCATAGTCACAGTAGTTGCCATTTGCCGTAGTTAAGATTAATAATAATCTATTTGCTATAAGAATATCTTCACTCTTGCTTTTTTATTAATAGCCAAACAAAATTACTATGCAAACAGGACATACAGTAAACTTACCCTCCTTTGTAAAGTGCGTTGAGATCACTGATGAAACACACTGTAAATATGCTAAATATGATACCACTTTAGCAGCTAATAGTGCTTATGTAATATTTCAAATATCAATGACCGTTCATCTGCAAATCTTTCCTATGTTTGTGATGTGTAATGTAGAAAATCAACACCAAAACATGATGCACTTCCTGTATAGCAATTGCTTATCATTCCTTTTGGGTTTACATTGTCCATTATGGCCAAAATTTTCAAACCCGGGTGCCTGAAATTATCCTCTCAGTGAAAATTGATGGTGGTCAGCACACCTCTGGAAAAACTAGCACTTTTGATATAGGAGAGTATCTTTAGGCACCCAAGTTTGAAAATTTTGGTCCACAGGTTTAGGGCCAAATCCTGAAAAGTGCTAGGTGCCTCCTGCAAGTCAGCAGGAGTTTAAATAACAGGCTAGGATATAATACCTCTTATTGCTGTGTTCCCAAAGGAGAAGAGGTGTTTTCACCTAAGATTTGGAAGGAAATAGAATATTGATGAAGCAGACTGAAGGGAGGTTGTTCCAAACAGCAGGAGCGCAAAGGAAAGGCTGTCACTCTATCAGTGATAACATTCGGTGAAGATCTCCAAGGTCACTAGCTTTAGGAGGATGTAGAGAAAGAGAAGGACCCAGATTTTCTCCCCTGCTCTGCTCTCTTGTAGTGCAAAGGGTACAGAAAGAATCTGTCTCACCAGGTGAGAATTCCTTTGTCATGAGGGTGCCTTGAATTACACTTTTTATCCCCACCTCTTTTACCTTCGCTCCAGTTTTTTATTGTATGACGTTTGTATAAGCAAAACCAAAAGTAATTGTAATCCCCTCCCATAATATATGAATAATGGATCTAACTGCAAAACCATTGTATATGCTCATAAATGTGTTTTGTACAGAGCCTGATGTTGCTTCGAGTGATGCCACCAACATGGAATGCAGCATTCAGCGAGATGGAGATAGCTATGTAATCAATGGCAAGAAATGGTGGAGCAGTGGTAAGTACAGAACAATGAATTTATGCTTGAATTCCTTCTGAACATGGTGAAACAAAAATAATTTGCATTCCAGTTCTGAGAAGTTCAAGTGTCTCTTCAGTGACCAGGGTGCTGGATTGTAAAATACACCGCGACCCGATATAACACGAATTCTGATATAACGCGGTAAAGAAGTGCTCCGGGGGGGGGCAGGGCTGCGCACTCCGGCGGATCAAAGCAAGTTCGATATAACGTGGTTTCACCAATAACACAGTAAGATTTTTTGGCTCCCGAGGACAGCGTTATATCGAGGTAGAGGTGTAGTGGGGAAAGTGATATTCAGGCTTGGTTTTAATACATGAAGCCCAAACCTTAATTCTGTTAAGGATGTGTGCTGTTGTTTGTACCCTTTTACTCTTTTTTGACCCTTTTAAACCCTTCCAGAAGTTACTTAGCTGACACATTGAGCTGCACTGTACTCCTCTAATATATCTTTCCATCAGATGACCCATGTATTTTAAGCTTTGTCCTGAGGCTTTCTTCATATTTGGCAGCTCGTGCGTGGAATGGGGGTACTATGGAGAGCTATATGGGTTCTTATTTTAAGTCATGCTTCCCTGGCTGTTTCTTTAGACTAGGCTTTGGTGCTGATGCATTAGCCCTGGTCTGAACGCTTCCTGTCTCACTTCCTAGCTAGTTTTATAAGCTGGTGCATAAATGGTGAATATCCTTGAAGCTACAGTGCAAAAACTTTTTACCAAAGCATTTAAATGAGTAACAGACTATGAATCCCAGCCTTGAGTTTTGTTCCTGCCCCCAAGTATACAATATATATGAGCATCATTTGTTGCTGTATGTATTCCCTTAGAAAACAAGATATGGTAGTTAAATGTACCAGGATATAACACATTAATTCAACACTTTCAACATCACTGCAAAGGTCTCAAAACCAAGGCTTATTTTGAGCCCTTGCTCTTCCTGGAAGTAGAACAAGCTGGTTCTGCCTCCCTGGACCGTGTACTTCAGGCCCTGTGCCCTGCAGCTTCAACATGGATATTCTTATCTTGAGTCTCTCTATTCAGTGCTATGGGGCACAACTGGTTTCCTAGATCCTACCCTCTGAGCATCTGTATCTCCACAGGCTGGTCTGGAAGCAGTTAATTGGTGTGATTTAAAAATATTGTACGGGGGATCACAAGGTGAACCACACAGTGACAAAAATTATTCCTGTCCTTGATAGCTGGGGAGGGATAGAGGAATTCTCTGTCCCTGAACTAGTCTTTCTAGCTTTAAATCAGCATAGACAATGTAATGTACTATAAGAACATTTTAACTCACCCATTCAAAAAAAAAAAAAGCATGAATGTAAAATGTATCCCAAATTACTGCAAAGTAACTGAAGCAATGACAGTGCTATGATTTACTATGATTTAAAGTAGCAGTTCCAAGCTCATAGGGGAAAAAAAGATCATTTTCTTTTTGCAGACTTTCCAGAAATACATATGCTAAATACTATATTCTAATAGAGCGTAATGCAATTCTAGTTTACATAAATGATTTATATTGTAGGCTTCACTGTTGTATTTTGTAAAGTTAGCATCTAATCCCAGGAGATTCTGATAATGAATTCCCAATAAAATCAACTAAATTGCATTTTAAATAACTGTTACTATATTTCTAGAAAGTCTGCAAATAGAAAACCATCAGTCGATGGGACCTAAGGGCACTCAGCACCTTGCAGGGCAGGGCCTCAAATATAGTGTAGTGAGATCTGTACTAACACTAATTGGAATGGAGCTTGAGTGTTACCTACGTGTGTGTGTGTGGGGGGGAGCTACATAGTGAGATGCATCCACAGAGTTTGCAAATAGCGCTAATAATTTACTAATACAGTTTGACCTGCAATATCTAGAATCACCAGTAGATGGAGGGCTCTGTGTAGGCCTAATACTTCAGGGACTGAAGTGGAAAGGAAGCTTGGCATATTTGTCACCTTCCAAAATGGGAGTATCGCTGGTTGATAGCTGCTGTTATCTCAACATAAAGAAGTTTGTCTCTTGTCTTCTATTTAATCTTACACAGGTTTCTTACAGTCCATAAGCTTAAACCTACAAAGCATGCCTGATGATTTCTTGTATACTTATTGTTCGTCTGAACATGTAACTCGCACTTCTCAAAATAGAGAGACCGGGTGGGGGAGGTAATATTTTTAACTGGACTAGGGTTACCATACGTCCTCTTTTTCCCGGACATGTCCGGCTTTTCGGCAGTCAAACCCCCGTCCGTGGGGAATTGCCAAAAAGCCAAA